CTCTAATTCTCTTACTTCTACATGTTTTTGAGAATTATTGTCATTGTGTCAAAATAATAAGTCATTACTGATAAACTAGATGAGTTAATGACGGAAACAAAAATTGAATCTATCTTTTCACTCGTCTATTTGTTCCTCAAAATTGTATTGATTTTATCGATTGGAATTCCAAGTGTTGAGAGAACTTTTGGGTTACTTACATCAAGAAGAAGTTACGGAATCGAAAAGAAGATCAGTTCCTGAATTATTGTCGAGTAAGATATATTGAAATATATTTGTTGAGCACAGGAAACAGTAAGTAACACCTCGTTGACTTTTGTTGTCATTTGTATTAGTCGTATAGTTTCTTATTTGTATTTTCTAATTTTTAATTATATTTTTAATTTAATTTTGAATGGAACACTCCTAAATTAAATTTCTGGGTCCGCTACTGAAATGTACGGCTAGTCAGTGACAGTTAATGCCACTCCATTCCAGTCCCTTTCCCCTCTCAATAGAGGTGCAAAGAAATTTCTAGCAAAAACAAACTCCTCTCCCCACCCTTTGTAGCGCCGCACTAGTCGCCATTTTGTTTATTTGGCGGTGACAGCCTTTGACTTGTAACAGAGCTTCGCCGAACCAAGATTAAGCGAAGGTAGATAGCCATAGAGAGATAGAGCCTACTAGGGATGGCAAAAATATCCGTAATCGTGGATATCCGCCCGAATCCGACCTAATTGGGTAGGGTGAAACTCGAACTCGAAGGACTTTTAGCGGGTATGGGTAAAACCCGAATCCGAATATTGCGGTTAATGGATGAACATGGTTTTCGCACTATCCAGCCCGAACCCGCCCGATTATACACATGCGCGTGTATTTTGTCTAGAAAATCATTATTTTTCTCTATCATATTTTTTATTTAGCACATAAATATAACATTTTTATGCAATCGTGTTGTTTTAATTAATATTCTTCATTCTAGTGAATTATTGTCGTGTTTTTCCTCTTATGCAATGTGAGAATACGTGTGAATCTTAACATATTTGTTGGAGTTATAAAGAGAATTTATTACCCATGGATATCCGTGGATACCCGAAACCCGAACGGGTATGGGCATGGTTTTAACTTTCTACCCATTTTTTAGTGGGTATGGGTAAAACCCGAACTACTTTGAGTAGGGTAACGAATATGCACTATCTGCGCCCAACCCGACCCGTTGTCATCCTTAGAGCCTAGAGGAAGTGCACATTCAAATAAATTAACTCCGCTCGCTTAATAAGTTAAGTTAATCCTCTCCCATACGGCAAATTAAGCAGAGGAGAAAATAGTCGGCTTGCTTTCGAATCTGTCTAGAAGGAATGGATTATGAATATCATACCTTCGGTAAATATTATACGCACGGAACGGATTGGATTAAATGAACCCACCTTATGTCACCTAATTCGTCAGATTTGGCCGGACGCTCCCGCTTTGGTGCGTTAAATCGCGAATTGAAGAAAGAACTTGCATAATTTGCGAATTACTTTTAGTCGGAGCGCGAATTTGCTGGGGGAGAACGCGAATTTGCTGTGGAAATAAATCCTTCACAAGAGTTTTCGAAACAATAAACTCTGAGCTATTAATGGGGTGAGCAGGTAAAGTGAGAAAATTTTTACCCAGAACACTGCGACCATAAGCTCTGGCCAGATGGAGGAGAACGCCAATTAATTGAGCGATTGTCAAGCCGAAAAAGGAAGAAACTACCAACAAGCAGTGAGATAAAGTTATGAGATGCAGGGGTTCTTTGCTCTTGAGTAAGCTATGAGTTTCTGCGTAGGAGAGAAACTACGGTTAAACCACGGTTTTGTCATAAAATACCCTATCGCTGACTTTTCCGGTACGGTCTCCGGTACGGTTTCATGGACCATGCAATGCACGCACCCGGAGTTTCCTGCAACTTGCTCTCCTTCCTTTCGGTGAAATTTATGAATGTTGAAACTAAGTGTTACTCTTCTAATCACTAGTATTAAGATAATTTGATTTGGTGAATTTGAATAATTATTTGGTTTTGTTAAACTTTTTAGTTTATTTGATTTAGATAGTTTAGTTTGGTTTAGATGTTTCTAATCAATTTAATCAATTAACTAATTAAATAATTAGTTATACATAATATATTATATACCATACTTCATACTTTGCATTAGGGGTGAGAAATGATGTGGTCCAGACCAAACCAGTCCATATATATGTTCTATAGTCTAGATCGAGAGGCTGGAACATATATTATGGATCAGATCATACTTCAAATACATAAATGAAGGTTTAATTTATTATTATTTTGATTTAAATTAGTAGGTAGTGTGTCACGGTCTGTTAAGATTTACAGCGGTAGACCACGGTTCAGATCACTTCAGACCACACACTAAATTAGGAAATTGCAAACCAAATCAAATCATAGCTCTGGTCTCACGATCAAGATCAAACCATACGATACTGTCTAGATCGCGGTTCCCCATACAGTGTGGTCTAGATTTCCAGCACTACTTTGCATAACCACTCAAAAGTCAAGTATTTTTCCATTTAGGATCCATAATAAAATGAAACTCCTTATTTGTATCTATGCTATATTTGTTCTTGTAGAGTGTAGAAAACAACATATGAGCACCTAATTTAGATTAAAAAAATCATATCTTATGTTGCATGAAAACATGAAAGAGAATGACTTTTCAACCTCTAATAATTGCTAAAAGATTAAGAACTCACACATATATACTCAATCCATTAATCCCATACCATTAACATATATTTTTTATATGTGGCTAAATCTAATGTCTAAAAGATAATTGTGTTTATTTATATCAAGGGTTAACTATATGGTTGTTGTTATATTTTATTCATTACATAAATTATGAATAAATGCAATATAATTAATTTTTTTCTTACATAGTGATAATGTTACGTTATATTAGTTAACCTTATTAACCAATTAACCAAATCAACTAAACTTTAATCTGTATTAGCTTGGTTTGTTCGGTTATGATATTGTAATTCATGGTTAATACATTTAGAGTTAATTGGTTTGATAATTATCATGGTAACCATTTGAACACTCCTAATATAAATCCGCAATTTGCATTTCTGGAGAAACATAGATACACTTGGATATACGAGTATATTATTCCCATTTATAATCTAATCTCTAATCGCCATAACAAAATTATTCAATGGTAAATTCACAATGCATTTATGGCGGTTGTCGTGGTCCTTTGGTGGATCTGGCGGTCTTGAAATTGGGTGGTCTTGGAAGGCAAACAATTTGGGATCCCAAATTTAATGCGGCAATTTCACCAGCAGTATCAGGAATGAATTAGCTTTCCATTTGATCGCGTGGTCCGGTCATCCTTCCCGCCAGCGAGTTACTTTGTGTGTGAGAACCCTAATTCAGCGTGGGGCATTATTATCGAGGACTAAGGGGGGATGATCCTTTTGGTGAAAGGGGTGCAGTTTGTTGATATTGATGATCCAATGGTAGTCGAGCTTCTCGTTCTTCGGGAGGCAATTCTCTGGTGTTTGGAGAATGGGTTTACGGAGACAAGGTTGGAAGGTTATGCCAAAGTGATCATTGATAAAATAATTCATTATAATACCCTGGATAATCAAATTGGGGTCATCCTTGATGAAGTCACGCGTTTTTTGGCTGTTCTCACTAGGCTTAATGTGCGATTTGTAGGTCAGTGTAGTAATAGGGTAACCCATTTGATGGCTAGGAAGGCCCTTTGTATGTCAATGTAGGTTTTTGTACACGACTACGTGTCGTCTCTTTGATTTTCTGGCTTGGTTAAATTCCAGGATGTAATGATCTATTGTTCGAATCAATATATATGATTATCTTTTGTAAGAAATACAACAACAAAAATTTCATAACGCATTCTCTTGAACTAGATGTTGGTAATGTGTTCGTGAGCATAAATTCTTTGTTAAATACTAATTATTAGCAAAATCTTTCCAAAATATTAGCTCAAACTATCAAAATAAAAATAATTAGCCAAACGCTAACTTCTTATTAACAATTCCATTAGTAATGTTGACTGACCATCACAATGATGAGTTGGTTCCCATGTTGCGGTCAACATACCATCATTTTTTATTATTTATTTTATAAAATCAAGGGTAAATAGAATTTATTAGCCAAAATTTTCAAATTATTAGCCAAATCTTTCAAAATATAAAATATTAGCCATATCTTTTGTAACGCATCAAAATATTAGCCATATTTATATTAGTGTCAATAACTTTGTAACTCTTTTCTTAATTTAAATACTAAAGTATGGAATATTGACCACCACGTGTCTATTCCAAGTCAGTATCATGTTGGCAAGTCTATATTACTAAAAAAAATAAAATTGCTAACATGAAGTTAAAATGTGGCTAACATTTTGTATTTTGAAAGGTTTGACTAATAATTTAAAATGATAAAAAAATTTGGTTGATAATTAGTTATTACCCTACGAATAAGTAGCCAAACTTTGTATTACACTTTTTTCATTCAAAAGCCATTTAAGTAAGAAAGTCAAAGAGTGAAATATCTTTCCCTAACTCCCTAACTCATTTGCTTTTTTTGGGTTGAAAGAGTGACATTATCGATATCTAATTTGTATAAATAACGGTTCGATCTATGATTATTCTCATTGTATCATAAGAGAGCCAATATCAAATATTAGCAAGAAGTCCGCAGGAGTCTGGGAGATGGAAAGAAAAGAAAAAAGAATTAAGCCAACCCAAAATTGTCTGGCATTTTCCCTTTTGTTCTTTGTTCTAGAAGGCCAAACTAGTTGAAAGCAATTCTCTCGTCTTATTATCTGTCCCACTCTCCCAACAGATGGAGTCACCATCCCCTACTCCCTTCTCCTTCTAGATTGAACTACTCTTCAAAAACCAAAACCCCATTTTCCTTCCCATAAACTACCCACCCGTCCTTTTATTCAAACATTTGTCTCTTCTTGTATATATAAGAAAAGCTTCCCCATCTCCCCTTGATAGCCAATCACCTCATCCTATATCTATCTTTCTCGCTCTTTTCATTTCCAACAAAGAGAGCCTTTAAAACCCAGATACCCAACAACCCTCGTCACCGCAGTCAGGAGCTCCCAAGAAGGAAGACTATGGCAAACCACAGGATCTCTCTGCCTCTCCTGTTTCTACTACTTTCTCTCTCTGCCAATCATTACTCAACTACTGCAGAAGCAAGAACACTTCCCTTCTCATCTACTCACCTCCTAAGTAGGTGTTTTCATCATATCTCAATACCTGTATAGTTCAATTCAATTCATCTGCAGCCTCGATTGATAGAGTCTCTATTTTCTCATCGTTCCCTTGTAATTAATTCTTTTCAGGATCTTCAAAGATTTTTGCAACTCTGGGAGTCGTTTGTAAGTGCTGCGACAACAGAGAGGGTGAGAATGGTGAATGCGCAAGCTCCTGGGAAGGGTCTTGTAGCGATGTCCAGTGCCTTCCCTGGAGAAGTGGGAAGCAGCATCCTCTGCCAACAGCCGGCTAAATCTTGGTTTCCGTCCGTCTCCATGGCTTTGCTTGTACATATAGAAGACGGCAAGTTTTGTAAAATCAATTCCCCCCCACAGCTGTTGGTAGGTTAGAATGCCTTCTCAGTATCTCCTAATCGCGCGGTGTGTTAACCAATTTGCATCCTTGAGTACAAAATCGGTGTTGATGATGCGGGCTTGCTGGCGGCGTTGGCAAATGTTATTCAACGATGCTTAAACATAGTTTGCCCATTATGTTGTTGACAAAAGGAGAAATTCCTATCCAAACCCCTCTTGGTTTCTCAACAGTGTATTTTCCTGAGGAATTATAAGTTGACTTGGCCAATTTCTTTAGCAAGTAAACGGGAAGAAGGGTCAATTGCTTCGCATGGTACAAATCAAGCCAAGTTGTAACATAACATGCATCAGCACATAAATGTTACTTCTAGGTCTAGGAAGTTGACATCATTCATCACCAAAAGCCAATTTTCAAATGTGCTCTGCTCTCAACATGAACACAGAAACTATCAACTGCCAAAGACCGATTCCCACCCTCCTCTGCTCATCTATCCTTATTAAATAAGTTTGCCGCATAATTAATAACTAGATTAGAAGCCCGTGCTTCGCCACGGATGTTTATAGAGAAAACCTCCACTAATGCTTGCCTTTCAATGTTTAGGAAAGGAGACCATCTACCCAAAGGTTAATCACAGTCTACTGTAAAAAAAAAAAAAAAGTTAAATCACCATTTCATTCTAATTCATGACTTGCACGACCAGATCGGGGAGATTATATTTATTTAAAGATGAAAAGTAGAATGAAAAGAAAATTAGTTTAAGATCATAAAAACTCTGAAGCTAAGATAAAACTTGATCCCTGCATCGGAAGATGAGAACTTGCAAACATCAATCCAAGCCAAAGCGTAGAGTACACATATAAGAGCCAAACGAAAATAGTAAGCCAGTGCAACACATCGTGAAAAAACAAAAATAGTAATTAGAATTACAAAACTAAGGAAGAAAATGCATGCATGAATAGATACATTCATTCTTAACAATTATTTATGCAGAAGACAATACAAAGTTTTGACTCTCACATGGATCAGTTTCAGCTTTCATGTTGCTGCTTTCCCGCCTAATCAGTTGGCTTCATATCATTCAAAACCCAATGATTTGAAGTAATTCTCACAATAAGCATATTAGAAAAAGAAGGGTGGGGGGGGGGACTCTTAGTTTGACCCAAAGCAGATCACGAACTGTAGATGCTAAAAGAAGAGAATTGCTTGAAACTTTCTACATTATCAATTGAGAAATCTACAACTAAATAGTATCCATCAGTGTCCAACAACAAACCACATTCGAGCTATCAGTGTGGAGTAGAGCTGACATACATGCGTTCCACGTTCTGATATAAATCTCCAGCATGCTTTTCATGTTCAGTGCAAAAAGCAATGTTGAAAGCAAGAATCAACAAAAACAAAAGAGACATACATATCAAGATTGGTGGCAACACATTCAATTTAAAACCAACGCTAATCTGAAACCCACTATGATTCAATTCCATTGTACCCCAAGATGCCATAGGTCTTCCAAAATCAAGAGAAGTCGAGGGCATGTAGGGAAAAGCAGCAAACTAAAGCAGATGAAGAAGAAAAAACAATAGGTAGCCATTACCTGGAGCCTGGACTGGAGGAGCAAAGAAAAACAAAATGAGCCTAAGGTCCAAAAGACCAAAAAAGAAACACTTTAGTTATCATCTGCTTTTCTTATTCTGCATAAAAAATGATAAATCGATACCAACCGTTAAAAACCTCAGAAGTGTTTGTGAAAAAGTACTGTTGCAATGGTGCCAATCTCATCAAAAGCAATTGACTTTGTTAATCTCATGAGATCGATAACTTCCCTAGCTCTACCAACCTCTTCTCTGTTGTAATATTATATGGTTACTTGTAGGAAACCTACTGCAATGTCCACCTTTGCATTATAACACCAACAACTACGATTAAATATGAACAAATAATAGGGAAAGTAAGAATACCAATCTAATCACACATGCAGGAACAAAAAAACAATACCTCCTGTATAATTATGCAGATGCACAAATCTCAATATCAACATAACTCAAACTAACAAAATGAGAACACTTGGATTCAATTCCCTAGCATGTATCACTATCAAACTAAAAAAGTTGGGGGTTTACCATTTCCCTAGAACTCTATCATCATAAGAAGATATATGAGAATTTGATCTATAAAGCCAATCTTAATTAGAATTTCCATAGCTTGGTTTGATTGGAAGTCGAATAAGTTAACTCAATGTATAGGGATCTTTCACTGGGCTCTTGCCACCCTCCACAATGAGTCTCATATCATATCAAATCCATGAATAAATTGGGTTCAATCTCAAATCACTGGGCTCTATTCACTGATCTATATACTTGTGTTCATTCAGCCAAAGGGTGAAAAGCAATAGTGTTGTCAAAAGCATTGTCAATTTAATTATTAGAAATGAAAGGAATCAGTAAATCATATCTATGAACAAATTGGGTTTGAACATTAGCTATTTGCGGTAAATGAACAAAAAGTAAATCCATGAACAAAAAGTCAGGGGAGCTAAATCCAAGTTGTTGACTCACCTAATTCCAGTAATGGATGTCGCCGCTAGGAGATTCTCCAGGTTCCAATGGACAAAAAGAGTCATAGTTGGGCCAATCTTCGGCAGAGTTCAGTGGATGTGGAACAACTTTGCGGCGACCTTCTTGTCATCTTCTTGAAGTATGGAAGAAATTGAGAAGGGCAAGAGGCTTGGCTCGTAGGAGACAGATTGAAGGAGCTGCAGCGAGGGTTTCAGCTCAAGCTTAATTAAATCGAAGGAGGAAAGGAAAGTAAAATCCGGAGAGAAAAGAGAGGTCGAGATGATAGAGGAGGGGATGCGGCAATCACTTTCCTTTTCGAATGCTACCGGCCGCCAAATCTGGGAGTCTCCTCTTAAATCCTTGAATCACAGCCAACACCGCCGCTGAGATCTTTATTTTGGTCTTTCAATTTTGCGCGTGGAGAAGAAGGAACGGGGAGAGAGAATGATAGAAAAAAAAAGCAGGAGCGAGGAGGTTTAGCGATATGGATCCACCGGTCCGACAATAAAGATCCAATGGCTATTGCTAGGCCAGCCCAAAATGATTTCACTTGGGATTAAATAAAAACGACAACAGCGTATCTATGCAACTAACATGAACAGTAACCTCCGATTTTTTCTTGATGAACAGTAACTCCAATTTTTTTGGAACTTGAGACTTAATAATTCTTTCACTGGGCTCTTGCCACCCTCCACAATGAGTCTCATATCATATCAAATCCATGAATAAATTGGGTTCAATCTCAAATCACTGGGCTCTATTCACTGATCTATATACTTGTGTTCATTCAGCCAAAGGGTGAAAAGCAATAGTGTTGTCAAAAGCATTGTCAATTTAATTATTAGAAATGAAAGGAATCAGTAAATCATATCTATGAACAAATTGGGTTTGAACATTAGCTATTTGCGGTAAATGAACAAAAAGTAAATCCATGAACAAAAAGTCAGGGGAGCTAAATCCAAGTTGTTGACTCACCTAATTCCAGTAATGGATGTCGCCGCTAGGAGATTCTCCAGGTTCCAATGGACAAAAAGAGTCATAGTTGGGCCAATCTTCGGCAGAGTTCAGTGGATGTGGAACAACTTTGCGGCGACCTTCTTGTCATCTTCTTGAAGTATGGAAGAAATTGAGAAGGGCAAGAGGCTTGGCTCGTAGGAGACAGATTGAAGGAGCTGCAGCGAGGGTTTCAGCTCAAGCTTAATTAAATCGAAGGAGGAAAGGAAAGTAAAATCCGGAGAGAAAAGAGAGGTCAAGATGATAGAGGAGGGGATGCGGCAATCACTTTCCTTTTCGAATGCTACCGGCTGCCAAATCTGGGAGTCTCCTCTTAAATCCTTGAATCACAGCCAACACCGCCGCTGAGATCTTTATTTTGGTCTTTCAATTTTGGTCTTCACATGTTTTTTCCAATATTCTTATATTGCGTGAGGCCCGTTCTCGTGTTTTAAACCAATTTTACGTTAGATTGTTCTTGTTAGTGACATTTCAGGTCCTAGTACGTGAATTAATGCTTGGGCACGAGTTCGGGTTCGATTGGGCGAAATTAGGACGTTTGACGGAAAGTTGAGGAATCTGCACGGGCTGCACATGATTTTATGCGGTCGTGCGTTGTGGTCGTGCAACTGGGACCACGCGACAAGGGGTCGTACCGGCCGTACGAGGGCACTCCCAGGCCGTGCGAGTTTTCCAGGGGCTATACACGGGCACGAATGAATTCCGCACGGTCATGCGTTTGGCCGTGTGTTCCCCATGAGCAACTAATCGGAACGCGGCGTTTGGGAGTTACACGGGCAGACACGGGATTTTACACGGCCGTGTGTTGTCCGTGTAATCGGGCAAATCTGGATTTTAACAAAATTTTGGATTTTTGGAGATGGGATCTAGATCTAGAGCAGAAAACAGAGAGTTAGAGAGAGAAAGTGACAAACTCATCGTCCAAGGTGACCTAGATCTAGTTTTGACACCATTGGAGCTCGATTGAAGCACGAAAAAGCACCTATTGACAACCAGGAGCTGAATTCCATCCTCTATACGATGATTTTTGCATCTGAAACTGATTTCCTCTCTCTCTCTCTCTCTCTCTCTATGGAGTAAACTCCCTCTGTCACCTGAGTATGAAGAACCCTAGATTTGTATGTTAGGTTTGATTGTTTGAACCCAAGTACATGCTATTTTGATACTGATTATACTCAATTGAGGCATGATTTCAGAATTGCATGAGTCTTTATCACATTCTTGTAATTTCTACTTTGACCTAGAAAGAGAATATATGCATAGGTTGATAAAGCACCCTTAAATGAAGGTGGTGAATTGACTACTTCAGTCGAGAAGTCAATTCACTGCTCTGTACTGGATTTGATCTAGTAGATGAGGTTTTGCATGTTAAGGTCCCAGTTTGTTTACTCCGGTGGAGGTTAGTCGCCTTCCTAGTCTTCAAACTGGGAGAGTCTGAAGGCCTTTAGTCGAGACTTTAGACTGACTAAGAACCTTTCGTAGTATAACTATCATTATATCTGGACTTGGTAAATTACAATTCGGCTTAACTTCAATTTAGGGGGAACCATAACCGGGATACCTCTCTCGAACTTGAATCACAACTTTTATGCTTTGTATTTTCTTATATTAAATACAACTTCACAACATTCAAACTGCCGAATAAATAGAACTTCACTGAGTAGTCATCACATCTAGGACCCGAGTTGATAATTAAAACTAAACCCGCTTTACTATGCATTAGTTTGTGGTTATAGTTGGCCACTTTCTAGTATGATGGTATTGGCCAGTCAAGTTTTTTGCGCGTTTTCCGGGGGATGGCGA